TATTTATTATGTCCTTTTTATATTACAGCCCTCGATAAAGCTAATAAACATTAGCGAAAGCTCGGGCAGCTAAAAAGAGTAAATATTTATTCTAATCAGACCGAATCCCCGAAAAACTACTATTCTATACATACATACGGTCGTTACACTATCAATTATATATATTTATATATATTACTCAAAGATGACTGACTGACTGACTGACATAGTGATGTATCAACGCACAGCCCAAACCATTTGACGGATCGGGCTGAAATTTGGCATGAAGGTAGATGTTATGACGTAGACATCCGCTAAGAAAGAATTTTGATCAATTCTACTCCCAAGGAATAAAATAGGGGATGAAAGTTTGTATGAAACTTTGTCAATTTCAAACCGATTGGGCTGAGACTTTGCATGTATAAAGCTACTATGACGCAGGAATCCCCTAAGGAAGGATTTTCATAAATTCTACCCCTGAGGGGATAAAATAAGGGATCATGGAGGATGTAAATGTATTAGTTTGAACCTATCAGTACCTAATGGAACGAATAAATTAAGACGAACAAAAGAATTTTCAGTTCTGAATGTTGACAATTGTGGCGTTAGTAGTATTTTAAAACGCGCTATCGTTGTGTTTTCACTGAGTTACATATACCCGATGATGAGTGGCCGCCGTATCTAATAGTACATACTATACCTAAATATTTCTAGCGGATTATGTTTCACGATTTTGGCTGTTATTTTCTTGGCATATTTTGGATTGCATATGCTTTGTTTTGGTTTAGTTTTGGTTATAGACTTTGCTTTGTATTTGGCATTTGTTTTGTTTTCGTTTGGTTTAAGTATTTGTCGGTTAGACTTTTTTGAAATGACTAAAGAAAATCTGAACGTTAATGGAAGTTGAAGAATGTACTGTCGTCCCTATTGTTGATGACGGTGCATGTTTGTTTCGTGCTCTCTCTTATTTAATGTACGAAACACAAGATAGAGCGATAGAGGTGTGTTCAAAAATTGTCAGATATGTGGTTAATGACTGGAGCAAGTTTTCAATTATGACCCACGACAGGAATGGTGATAACTATGATGAACTATGTATTGATGAAAAATGATACTTATGGCGTATTTTGTAAGTTAATAGCAGCAGGATTAATGTTCTCATTCCAGTTTGGAGTTTATAGAAACGGTCTCATGTATACGGAATCTGGATATAACGACTATCCGGTAAGGCGATTATGATTCAGCAAAGACTTGTCCAGTTGGCATTTTGATGCCTATCTTTCCATAGCAGCACAGAAAATTACTCAGCGTTGTATGGAGGTAGCTGTAGAAGAACATGATTTTGTAATTGATACACCTTCGCAACTTGAAGTTGTCAGGAGGTACCTGTTTTAGAGCGTGAACATTCACTTGATGTATCTTCAATAAATTATGATGAAAATTCAATAAGAAGTTTATTGTCCCAATCTGAGTCTGTGACATTAATAGAAAAAAAAAACAAACGTAGGGCAAGGTTTACTAATTACACACGAAAAATCAAATAAAAAAGGCACAAAAAATATGGACAGACTCTACCTGAATCCCACCGTAAAACTGTTTTTGAATATAAGAAAAAAACCCTGATGCACAGAGGCAAGCTGTCGCCACCTACCAGGCTGCACACCCTGAAAACCACAGGCAATATGTCGCCACCTACCAGGCTGCAAACCCTGAAAAACATAGGCAATCTGCTGCACTATATCAGGCCAGGAATATCGATGTGCATAGTGTGATTCAGTCACGGTATGGAGAAAATACAATTCAGCGTGTATGGAGAAGCAAGTTGCTTTCGGGTTTGACGTATAACCCATATATTGCTTATGGAACTGACAGCATTGTAGTCTATGACGTACAAGTGTCAGTGGTGTAACGCTTCGAAGTGGAAAGATGAGACACTTGGCATGTGTTGTAGCGTCGGTAAAGTACAACTTGAGCCGTTTGAACAACTGCCTGAACCAGTTCACAGTCTGGTTAATGATTTACACCCAAATCATGTACACTTCATGGATACTATCCGAAAATATATTGCCTATTTTTTGATGACTTCCTTTGGTGAAAAACAAATAAAAGAAGGCGGTTTTTCACCAACTTTTGAAGTTCAAGGACAAGTCTATCATTTAATTGGAAGTATATTACCATAACGTGGGCAGGATGCACAGTTTCTGCAAATTTATTTCGTCGAGAAGATATTATTCGATGTTCTGAATTTCCTGATTCGAGACCAAATTTAATCAAACAATTGCAGCTTATGTTACAAGAGGTGAACCCATACATAAAAGATCTAAAAAAAGCAATTGATGAAATATCGCCTCCAGAGTCATTCAATGCAGATAAAAAACCACAAAGAGAACACAGAGGCAGATTCAATGCACCAGCGGCATATGAAGGGGCTATTGTATTGGTAAATCAGCATTACGACCGAAGAGACATCATCCTCGAAAGCCGAAGTAATTCACTTCAGCGTATCAGTGAGATACATCGAGCTTATGACGCGCTGCAGTACCGGTTGATGTTTTGCTAGGGGGATGATGGCTATTCAATCAATATACCACAATGCGATCCCACAACTAAGTTGCCCTTGAAAAAACAGTCTCAGCCGTGAGTTTTTATTCATACAGAATAATGATCAGAGGAGGAGAAGATAACTTCTTGGTTAAATATCACGCTGGTTAAGTTACTTTTGGCGAGAGTAAGAAGTACTCCCGGCATCACCCTGGTTGTGACGTCGTCCGGCATAGCTGCTACATTACTCGAAGATGGTCGAACTGCTCATGCTACTTTTAAGTTACCACTCAATTTAATCACTGCCGAGACTCCCATTTGCAACATCTCCTCTCTTAAACAGATAATTAAGGGATATAAGGGGTAATACAAAATCAATGGGTGGCGTAATAGTTTTGCTGGCCGGAGATTTTCAGCAGACTCTACCAGTGGTGCCAAAAGGAACCAGAGCTGACGAAGTGGAGTCGTCCATCAAGAAATCTAATTTGTGGCCCCAGGTTAATATTCTTGAGCTCTCTAAAAATATGAGAGCACATTTGGGCGGGGATGCGTCTTCTGGTAGATTTTCAGATCTCCTTAAAATCGGTAATGGTGGTTTTCCATCGTTTGATGGAACGATAACCATCCCGGAAGAATTGTGCACAGTTGTTACTACGGTTCAAGAATTGCTGTCTGAAGTTTATTCAGACATTATTCATATACATTATAAGCCTATTGAATGGTTATGTGAGCGTGCCATACTCACTACAATGAACGATCAGGCAGCAGCTATCAACGATATCCTGCTCATGTCGTTTGAGGGCGAAGAAAAGGTCTATACTTCGATTGCAGTTAATACAGATGACGCTACTAATCATCCTGTAGAATTTTTAAATTCATTGAAAGTGCCAAGTTTGCCTTGTCATAAATTATTCTGCATGTGGGCACTCCAATTATGTTGTTGCGAAATTTAAAACCACCAAAACTCTGTAACGGTACGAGACTGCAAGTGAAAGCAATATAGTGGAAGCCACTATATTACTAGGTGTATTTATACTACGAATCCCATTACTACCTAATGATATCCCGTTCGAATTTAAACGATTACAGTTTCCCCTAAAAGTCTGCTTTGCCATGACAATAAACAAGTCTCAGAGGCAAATTGTCAAATTTGCGGGTACTGACTTGAGGGAACATTGTTTCTCTCATAGACAGTTTTATGTTGCTTGCTCACGAGAAAGTTCACCCAATAGCTTTATAGTTTTAGCACCTGATGACAGGTTAATTAAGAATATTGTGTACAAAAAAGTTTTTAGCCCCTACACACGCTAAACAAATGTAAAGCCGCAAAAACTATACCTAATTAATAATAAAACTTCTTAACGCGAGCGAAGCCACGAGCAAAAGCTAGTTACTTGATATGACCGTATTTGTGTCAAATCAATGGATTCGATTAAACTTTCCTGGGCCCTTGACATACATGAAATTGGTTTGTGAAATACCATGACCTGTTATACTCAACGTATCAAATGAATTTCTCCCTTCAATTTTGACATAAAAACGCATTTTACTGTTGTTGTATGTGAAGATTTTCCGCTTCAGACACTTTGTAATATTGTTCCATATACAGCTTCGTGTAGATGCATTTGATACCGCGTTTTGAATGTCAAATTAGATACAGTAGTGCTCTTGAATGGGAAATATTCGGGCATTTATTCACATACAGTGTGTCAATTTGAAAACTTCCCACCCTCAATATCTCCCTTCCAGTAAATAATATAAAAAAATGGTCAGACAGGTCAACTTTATTTGCAAGGGGGACACTCTGAATGAATATTTTCAACCCTCGGGGTTCAACCCCCTAGGAGGGGTGGATGTTACCCTCAGAATTTCAAATGGAAAGGGGGGTCAAGTGGCACATCATTTTGAAGGGCATTCAATTCTCTTGCCAATGATACCTTTTTCATTAGTTTTTGATGAGCAGTTTTTGAACAATAACGTTCCAAACGAACGGTGATTAGAAGTGAATAAGAATAAATGATTAAAACTCGCCCGCACTAGATGTTTGGTATTCAGGTTGGNATGATGTGCCACTTGACCCCCCTTTCCATTTGAAATTCTGAGGGTAACATCCACCCCTCCTAGGGGGTTGAACCCCGAGGGTTGAAAATATTCATTCAGAGTGTCCCCCTTGCAAATAAAGTTGACCTGTCTGACCATTTTTTCATATTATGTACTGGAAGGGAGATATTGAGGGTGGGAAGTTTTCAAATTGACACACTGTATATCTATATACTCAGATATTATTTTTATTATTTACCACCTTCGTTATGCAGAAACCAAAATAAATCACATCTACAAATTAAAACTCACCCTCCAAAATTAACTTAATTTGAGTAATCCTTTATTTTGGCACTATGCAAATTGATGGTCCAAGTTGATGGTGTATTGTGCAAGAATACAACTCTTTTTGTCATTTTTTATATCAGTTTCGTGAGAAGTGATCCTATCTTTGGAATGTTTGTCAGTTTGGCCATTATACATATACCTGGATGCAATTTGCGGCTATATCGGAGTTATGTGTTTTTGGTGTTTTGTCTTTCAACTTTGGAAAATCATCAAAAAAATCTCTAATTTATTGATAAATGCAATTCAAATTCCCTCCAAACGGTTCGTGACACTGGTGGTAGGTCTGTTATACTTCACAAGTTTCGAAATTAGTTGTTACATGTATTCATTCTGTGATATCTCACAGAATGAATACATACGACCGGTTTCGAGTTTACTCCCATCATCAAGTATAAATCTGTTTTGAATTGAAGGGGTTATATTTTTAGGAGTGATTAATTTTAGGGAAAGAAAGTTTTTGGCTTTCTACTACTCCATCTTGATACAAAAAGAAGCATGAGGGAATCTTCCAAAGAAAGGAAGGAAGTAATCAATTTAAAAATAAGTAACTCTATACATGGATCTGTAGATCATGCAAAGAAGTAACTTTCAGACACAAACTGAAAGAAAGTCCTCCTGAAACAGCTACTGTCATATAAACATTGAATTACACGAAAGAAAAAAATTGTTTCGAAACAAATACTTCTATATGAACACTGAATTATACAGAAGATACTTTTCTCTACTCATTATATATAACATTATATACTATACTATAACATTATAGAAAATATAATGTTATCCAATTTGGTACTGAAGAGCCTTGGGGGAAGTGTCTCAAGGCGAAACATTTTCCACATTCTTGATTTTCGAAACACTTGGAATGAAGTTAGAATTTACGAAAAATTTAACGATTATTCCAAAATATGTTGGATTGAATAAACTTTGTTAACATACCTATCCTTAACAATTATAGCTAATATTGAAGTGTCTCTTGACATACTGGACTATTTTAAATATCCTCGATAAAAACAATGAGCAGACTATACTCAAGGAAAAGCCCACTTCGATATATAAGTAAGACTTATATTCATCATGTAAACAGAATACATGAACTTAGGAGATTTCAACTGTAATATTCGAATGGAAGTTCATAAAATTTTGAAACACACTGCGAATTCGCCTTATATATGAAGTTGTATCATACTTGGTTTCAGTTTGTCACAGTAAATGTATATAGCAAGTATACGATAATGTGTTCTGATTTCCGAAAGTGCTTGATAAAAAATATTTCACAAGGAAATCTTGTAAAGCCGAAGTATCAAAACGAAAGAGTGTTACCTCATCGTACTCTCATAACACGATATTGTTGAAATTTCCATAATAAAGTTCTCTCTGAAATCTTGATAAAAAGGATAAGGGAACGAGTAAGCCAAGCCTGTAGATCCCAAGTGTATTGTGTTCTTTTTGATATGCCGTGAAAATGCTTTCTCCTCGATACATGCATCAGCATCAGAATTTCAGTCGATAGACAGTAGAATGGTTTCGACACATTTCTTTATTGCCGATGGATAGAAGACATGCCACAGAGTGAAATTGAATTTTCGTGAAAAAAATTAAATAATATGTGAACATCGGTCTTCCAAGGAAAAGGTAACAGAAAATATTTTTTTCAAATGTCAATTTCGATTTCAAGGTAAAATTATGAGGGGAATAAATCCTGAATATAAGATACATAAAAAATCATGAGTCCACAATGTATCTGTGTAAAATTGTATATGAAATTTATAAAAATAATAATGGACAAGGTGCATTCGAAAATTCATTAAAAGAGAGATACTAAAAATAATTGTTACAGTACTTCAAAGTGATCTTTCAAGTCATATAGTGTGATATTCGAAAATTAATTTTCTTCTTTTTATGAAATTGTAGGGCTGATTTATGATTTTCAGTTCATTGAAGAGAATAATAATAATTCCAATTACATTATATCAAATGATTTTTGAAAAATGTTTCGCCATAAATTCGTTAAATTGAAATCTTTTTCTATATCATTATAGTATTACAATAATGAAAATCAGGTAAAAACTGTGTCTCATTCAGTCTTCTTCAAAATCTGTTTATTCAATTGTTTTAGTTGGTTTCCGAGTTTTGACGTGATCTTCTTTGGCTATAATCTCCGTGGTCGAATTATTTTCCGTGACGTGACGTGGTGGTTGAACAGTTTCAGTTGATACGTCAAGAAGAGTACTTTAACCACGCCACTGAGGATGACTGCCGCAGTTGCAGTTGAAACGTTTGTTGATTATAACCAAAGAAAACCACGACAAAACCCGTAAACCAACCAAAACATTGACGCCAGCCGTGAAAGCCTACATTTCTAAGTTTAATCAATTGTTTCTTAACGAGTGACAATAACCTGAAAAAAAAACTTGGAAATGCAATCAGTGGCTCATCATTCTGAAAAAGAAGAAGATAAGGGATCTATTCGATCACTTCTACGATTCTAATAGTTTCCGTTTGTACGAAGATGACAGCTAATTGAAAAACACACTCATTCTGAAACTCAATTTTACTTATTCCAATTCAGTTTGAAAATGTATAGTCGAAGTAACTGATATAGTAATTCTTAAAGCTATCGGCGAACTCAAAGGCTAAAAAAACCAATACAAAGAAATAATGCCGCTACGAATTAGTCCACGTGGACTGAAGAACTGGCGGTTCGTATTGGATAATTTTTACTAACCGAGTTTCATGATTGGCTGAAGAGTCATAAAATTAAATTTGAAGTCATGTTACGGTGACCAATAGAATATAACGATGAGTACCGCCGTTGTGTCGTCAATGTTCAGTTCAGGAACTGATCGCGATTTGAGTGTTAAAATTAGATATTGGTGAAGTTATAATTACTTAGAATTTTTGTTATTTGTTCAAAACGTGGCGTCCTTGTACAAGTACCAATAGTAATGAAGCGGTACGATGAAATGATGGTTGCCTACTTCCAGGCCTAATTATTTCGATATATACCTTACCTGTTCAATCGGTTCCAGCGCGAGCGTTTTTGTTTCCTTCCGTAAAAACGCTGGGTGTTATCTTCAAATCGTTCTGTATTCGACCATTTCATTTGGTTGTTCGATGATAAGTGTGACCTCGTGATTTTAGAAACTTACGAAATTCGGGACCAATTTCGACTGGGTTTCTCGTCTGGCACAGGTAATGGTGCATCATCCTTTAAATTGTACACACACCAATTCGAATTTATTTATTTATTACAGTTATCTTGAACATTGACCAATTAAACTGAATCTACTGAAATTCGGCCTAGTTTATTGAACAAAAATACTAGTAATCCGAACCGAACTTCCAACGAAACTGACCAAGAGTCGTTTTGTTACAGTAATAACGAGTGTGATAATAACGCAGACTTTTTCCTGTGTAGTGATTCCAATAGCGCTGGTGAACAATGCAAAGAAGAGATACTAGTAAATAAGATTCAGATGCATTTGAATATTGAAAAACAGAGAGAGTATGTTTCAATGTATATAAGAATCTAAATATCAAGTTTGGTTTCGAGGGAAAAAAACTATTACAAGCAACATCAGATTTGACCGAAATTCCTTTCTCAACTGTACGTAAAATAGTCAAAAACAAACCTTATGAACACAAGACGCGATGTGATACGTGATTGTACATCCAATAAAATCATTAAAAAAACAATGTACGACTGTTACAAAAGCAATAAGATTCCTACAATTAAAATCATAAGAAATAAATTGAATACTTCCAGTCATAACGTGAGCTGCTGTGACAAAACTCTTAAGAATTCGATAAAGAAACAAGGATTTAGATTTAAAATCTGTTTAAAATCTGTTTTTCCGTCAATCAGCTGTCGCCCCCATACGAACGACAACTCTCAGAAGTTGAGAAACTTGTGCGAGCTAAGGACCAACGAGGTCTTACTTTTTAACATGTGATTCCTAACACGGTTGCAGAATCATTCCAGCTTCAACCAGATAAATTCTCTCGAGAAAAATATCTGGTCAAGGCGGGAATCGAACCAACGGTCTTCCGATCGTAAGTCGGACGCACTACCAATTCCACAACAATAAAATAATAAACAAACGTCAAGCAGTTACGGAAAGCATAAGAATAGTGGAATTGCGTAACAAATACTTAGAACAAATAACTGAATATAGACAAGAACAACGGCACATTTTCTATTTGGTCGAAACTTGGTATGATACTCACGACACAGTTACGAAAGGGTGGACTAATGTTTCGAGAATGTGTACGCCTAACATGTCTGCAAACAAAGGATCGCGACTAATCATTGTGCATTATGGAGGAAGTAAAGGATGGATTCCAAATTCTTTGAAATTAAGTGGAAAAAAACTTGAGGACTGCAATGTTGACTATCATAAGAACATGGAAGCTAATATTTTTGAGAAATGGTTTGATAACACATTGGTCCCAAATTTGGATGCGAATAGTGTAATAGTTCTCAACAACACTTCCTATCATTCGCGACAGCTCATCAAAGTACCGAATAAAAATTCAAGGAAAGATGAAATACAAAGTTTCTTAATAAATAACAATTTGTATTTTGAAGATAACTATACCAAAACCAACTACTTGAAGTTTAACATACAAAAACATTTGAAAAAGTGTATGAGTATTGCTCAAAAGTATAGACACACCATATTGAGCCTTTCCCCCTATTTATGTGTTTTCAATCCCATCGAGTTGATTTGGGGAAAATTGAAACAGAGCATCAGGCTTAAAAATAATTTTCTAAAATTTGATAAGAAGGTGATAGAGCTAGTTGAAGAAGAAGTATCTTATATTACCGAAGAAGACTGGCAGAAAAAGATTGAAAAAGTAATTTCAGTTGAAAAAGACTATATGGAGATTGGACATTTCCATATCAATGGTGGAAATTAATTCATTATTGATTTAAATGACGACAGTGATAGTGAAACAGAGAATATGGAGGAGGAATTATCAGAAGCTTTCCAAGAAAGTTAGTGAAGTGTTTTTGAAACCATCAATTGTGTATATATATATATATATATATATATATATATATATATGTATCAA